AACCCTAAACACCTTGCGTCTAGGTGTTTAGGGTTGATGCATCCCTAACGCATGCCTTACCTGTAGGGGTTTAATTTTCGCCCGCGGGCAGCGCAGTACAGAACTTAACTAAATTTCTCTAGAAGTTTGTGATAACAATAAAACAGATCGCGGCTCACGCGATCATAGGCTCGCCACGTGGCGAAAATAAATCAAACCGCGCTTCCGCGGGATTGAGCAAAAATCTCAGCTCGAATACACACACTGCGCCTTGCGAATTCATGTTTTCCAAGAGTTTTGCTCAAACCCGCGGAATCGCGGTTCGTTTTATTATCGCCACGTGGCATGCCTTCGATCGCGTGAACCGCGGTCTGTTTAGTTGTAATCACATGTGAATGATAGAACGAGGAATGATTGCATTGAGCAGCATGAGGAGTACAAGTAGGAAACCCTAAAGTGTTGTACCTCGTATGAACTACCCCACTACAGCCTACACAGACTATAGTATATAAGTTTGACACATCCCCATAGGCAAAGTGGGGGAGAACAAGAGGCCACAAGACCAGTCAAGAGAAGCAAAGCAAGCTCAGGGTGGATCACGAAGTCACCACGCATTCTGAGCACAAGCAAATGGCCACAAGGCCAGTTCACATGCAGAGTTATACAAAGGCGAACAAACAATACGGTGATCACAACCTAGCAAGTGTAAGCATGCAGGTCTATCTATAAAGATCACAGTACAAGCAAAGTCAAGAAGTAAGTAAGTGAGGCCCAGTGGGCACAAGGCCTAGAACAGTACAGAAACGCTGATGATCACAAGGCTGAAGTGCCTTGGTGAAGACATCAGCAGTGTTGGCCCGAGTGGCCACATAAGCAAGACGAAGCTGACCACGCTGCTGCAACTCTCGAGCAAGGAAGTAACGCAGAACGATGTGCTTCGTTCTGTGCTCCAGTCTGTGCTCCTGACACAAGGCCAGCATGGCCTTGTTGTCGACGTACAGAACTGGAGGAGAACGAGGCGCCTCTCCCAAGTCGGTCAGCAGGTAGGTGAGCCAGCGTAACTCCTATGCAGCCATGGCCCCAGCGTAGATCTCAGCCTCACAACTGGAGCTGAGAACAGAAGACGAGCGGGTAGACCGCCACGAAACAGAGTCGGAACCAAGGCTGAAGGTGTAACCCTGTGACGACCGCTGCGTAGCCAAGTCGTCAACCCAAGAAGCGCCCGCGTGACCAGTGAGGACAACTCGAGCCCATCCTCCAAGCACGAGCCCCATGCCCGACGTACTACACAAGTAGCGCAACACCCTCTTATCGGCATCCATATGCTCCTTCCGGTGTCTCCCAGGAGCAAAATAGCGTGCCAGGATGCTAAGAGGTGTAACGCGTGTAGTCGTCAACGACCAGCAAAAAGTACCGCTCTCGGTCCTATCCACGAACGCGGGCTGGGACCCACACGTCCATGTGGAGGGTCTGCAGGGGAGCAGTCGTCGGGGGAAACGAGGAGTGAGGAGCGGCGCGCTGCCGTCCCTCGACACAGGGAAGACGGGGAGGAGCAGGCGAGGGTGGGAGGGGAGGGAGAACCCTGGGAAGACCAGAGACAAGGAAACGGCGGTGCATGCCACGAAGGCGCTGCACCGAGGGGTGACCAAGACGGTGGTGCCAAAGGACGGTCTGGTGCGACAAAGCGCGACACGAGCAGGGGGGCACTAGCTGACCTGACGCAGACGCAGACACAGATGCAGCTACCTAAGGGGACATAGTAGTCAGTGTGTACAGACTCGAGCCAGGCGCACGGGTAAACGTGGCTAGGTGCCGGCCCGTCCGGGAGCACGTACAGTGGGTCACACGCTGACCTCCATGAGTGAACTGGTCAACCAACGCATCCTGGAGGTGAGCTCCACTCACCAAGTTCGTAGAGAACGAGGGGAGGTGAAGACCCGACAGTGAGCAAGACGGGACCGCCGGAAACGGCAGGACCGTGGAGGAGTGTGCAAGGACTGGGCCCCCAGAGGGGTGTGCTAGGGAGACTACAACCGGCCGACTGAGCGGCGTGGGTGTGGTGCTGTCTCGAAAGAAGGAGGTGAAGTGTGAAGGTGTGCAAGGCCTCAGGAGGCGCAGTACCAGAGAGAGCAGACTCACCAGCACCTGGAGCAGTAGACTCACTAGCACCTAGAGCAGCAGCCTCACCAGCACCTAGAGCACTAGACGCACTAGCACCTAGAGCAGCAGCCTCACCAGCACCTAGAGCAGCAGACTCTATACCAGGGTCAGGCGGTACACACAGGTAACAGGCACCCTCAGCACTAGTAGGTAATGCATACATGGCAGTGAGGGTAGCATCATAGTCAAGAGCAAAGATATCTACCCGCTGCCTAAGTAGTTCCAGCCAGGTGAGGAGCTCAGTCTTGTCTCCAAACTCGGTACGCCAGGCGTCGCTCAGACTGGCGAAGCAGCGGAACTGTGTGTGACCAACCGTCCCGCAAGTCTGACCAGCCCGATCACCTGTGCGAATGATGTACGGGCAGCGAACGGTACTCCGAGACCCTCTACTCTGGGCGTACCACTCACGAAGCTGTTGGGGCGTAAGGGTCACACGCGGACGCCGCTGCAGTTGCATCTGGCCACTGCCAGAAGCTCCCGACTGACCAGCTCCAGGGCGACTGCCACTACGGCCGCCGCCACAACCCCAACTAGTGTACCACTCACGAAGCTGCTGGGGCGTGAGGGACTCGCGCGGACGTCCCTGGAGCTGCATCTGGCCACCGCCAGTAGCAGCAGTAGCAGGAGTAGCAGCAGTAGCAGCAGTAGCAGCAGTAGTAGCACTAATTGATGTAGCAGCAGTAGCAGTAGTTGCAGCAGTAGCAGCAGTAGTAGCAATAACAGCTGTAGCAGCTATAGCAGTAGTAACAGCAGTAACATGAGTAGCAGGGGCAGGGCGGAGCGCGGGCAGCAGGGCGGCGCGCTGGCCCTAGGGAGACGCGACGGGCAGGGCAGGGGCGGCGCGCGGGCCCTAGGGCGACGCGACGGGCAGGGCAGTGGCGGCGCGCGGGCCCTAGGACGACGCGACGGGCAGGGCAGGGGCGGCGCGCGGGCCCTAGGGCGACGCGACGGGCAGGGCAGGGGCGGCGCGCGTGCCCTAGGGTGACGCGACGGACAGGGCAGGGGCGACGTGCGGGCCCTAGGGCGACGCGACGGGCAAGGCAGGGGCGACGCGACGCGCAGGGCAGGTCGTCGCGCGGGTCCTAGGGCGACGCGACGGCCAGGGCAGGGCGCAGCGGCGCGGGTAGGGCAGGTGCTCACCAGAGGCGGGTAGGGAAGGTGCCACCGGCGGCGGATGGGGCAGGCACGCGACTGGCGGCTGCAGGGTAGGGCCGCGACGAGGCGGCTGCAGGTCAGGGCCGCGACAGGGCGGCGGTACAGCACGGCCGCGACGAGCGGCTGAGGGCAGGGCCGAGACAGGTGGCGGCAGGGCAGGGCCGCGACGGGCGGCAGGGCAGGGCCGCGACGGGCGGCGGGTCAGGCCGCGACGGGCGGCGGGTCAGGCCGCGACGTGGGGCGGCAGGGCAGGGCCGCAACGGGCGTCTAGGTCAAGGCCGCGACGGGCCGTTAGGGCAGGACCGCGACGGGCCGGTAGGGCAGGGCCGCTACGGGCGGCAGTAGGGCAGGGCGCGCTACGGCGCAGGTGAGGCAGTCGCGAGGCGCGCTTCGGGCAGGGCAGGAAAAATTGTGGTGGGCCCTAAAAAAAAAGGACGTTCCCACTAGGGAACCTGCTTTGAAACCATGTGAATGATAGAACGAGGAATGATTGCATTGAGCAGCATGAGGAGTACAAGTAGGAAACCCTAAAGTGTTGTACCCCATATGAACTACCCCACTACAACCTACACAGACTATAGCATATAAGTTTGACATCACAAACTTCAAGAGAAATTTAGTTAAGTTCTGTTTTACGCTGCCCGCAAGCAAAAATAAAACCCATTCGGGCCTGGCATGCGCAAGGAAGGCATCAACCCTAAACACCTTGCCTCTATGTGTTTAGGGTTGGTGCATCCCTAACGCATGCCTTACCTATATGGGTTTTTATTTTTGCCCGTGGCCAGCGCAGTACAAAACTCAACTAAATTTCTCTTGAAGTTTGTGATAACAATAAAACAGATCGCGGTTCAAGCAATCATAGGCTCGCCACGTGGCGAAAATAAATCAAACCGCGCTTCCGCGGGATTGAGCAAAATTCTCATGTTTTCCACTCTCGATGGCAAATCACAGCGCTCTCGACGTCGCAATTGGAGTCGCGTTTCGCTTCACACATATTCGTTTCTACGCGTTATAGTGCCCCATGTAAGTTACCATTGACATATTTTCCCGTAAAAAAAAAGTACTCCTCTGTAGGTTTACGTTCGAAAGGGCCAAACCTAGCACACCTACTTCGAGTATGCTTGCTAGAAACCGAACGCAGCTTTCTGGTAAGCAGCCGAGCAGTAACACGTAAGGTTTTGAAAACCCCCATTTTAAAGATGGCGTGCTGCATTCAGCTGCGCGCCGATGCGATATCCTCAGTGCGACTCGGTCCTGGTTCTCAGGAATACAGTCAACGCTCTTCACAGCCCTCGTCGCGGCCCTCGCAAAGCATTCTGCTAACCAACGCACGGTCCTGCTTCCAGACATCCATTCCTCCTTCAGTTATCTCGCGGTTTAAGGAGCCTTGCTATGCGTCCTCTACTTCTATAAACAGCGCAAGTAGCAGCGAACCGTGCCGTTTAAGATCAATCGCCCGGCATTTTGAAGGATTCCATGACAATGTTGCTTCCAGGACTTCTCCGGCCGCTCCCATCCTTCCTTCCCGTTCCCGCAATATTGCCGCTATTAGAAGCCTTGTTACAAACTCTGTCTTTCAGGCCAAATCGTTCACAAATACCAGCCGCAGCACCAGCCGCGGGAGCAGCAGTGGCGATAAGGATGGCAAAAGCGGAAGCAACGCAGCAGGTTCCTCCGAGATCGGGTGGAGGCAGTTGATCGGAAGCATGGCAGCGGCTGTTGTGCTGGCAGTGGGTCTCGTGTCCTTCCCCGTGGGCCAAGCAAGTGAGAGTCCATCGTCTGTTGGTCTCCTGTCGCCTCCCATCCATCTCCTTCTTCCTCTCAGCTATTTGTTTCATTTTATAGTTACTGGAACAGCTCGTTTCTCTGTATTGTCCACGTCACGTCAAAGCTTTGATGGAGTGAAAACATTTTGCAGTTTTGAAGGTGGATGGAGGGGTAATGAACTGTGCATACGAGGATTTTTTATTCTGCTCATCATTTACATTCCTCATCCATTTCGCAGGGGCTTTAACGGAGGAGAACCTCGTGTTTTTGGAGGCGTGGAGAGTGGTGGACCGCGCGTACGTGGACAAGAGCTTCAACGGGCAGAGCTGGTTCCGGTATCGCGAGCAGGCGCTCAAGAAGGAACCCATGACCACCCGCGAGCAGACCTGTGTGTACCCCTTGATGCTGCTTGCTGTTGCAAGGCTTGTGCTTCTTGCTGTCGCAAGGCTTGTGCTTCTTGCTGTTGCAAGGCTTGTGCTCCTTGCTGTTGCAAGGCTTGTGCTTCTTGCTGTTGCAAGGCTTGTGCTCCTTGCTGTTGCAAGGCTTGTGCTCCTTGGCCAGTTACCAGTATTGACGTCACTGAACATTTGCGAGCGAGCGAACAGGCGTAAAGAAGGAACGTATGAACAACCGTGAGCAGACTTGTGGGTAGTTGAGCATAACGGAGGTTGTTTGGTGTGATATAACCGCGCGCAGACCTCTGGGTACCTCATGACATGATCCACCCTCTTCTAGCATCGACTCACATGACTTGTGTTATTCGACGTTGCACTTGCACCGCACCGGCGTCGCTCTCGAGCTTGGCTTCCCCACAACGCCACAGGATCTGCCAAATCGTGAGGCGCCTCAAGAATATTCTCCCCACATAGCATAGCCACAGGCTCTGCCGAATCACATCAGCCCCATTCCCCGTCTTTACCCTCTACTCCCCGTCTTTACCCTCCACTCCTCGTCTTACCCTCTACTCCCCGTCTTTACCCTCTACTCCCCATCTTCACCCTCTACTCCTCGTCTTTACCCTCTATTCCTCGTCTTTACCCTCTACTCCCCGTCTTTATCCTCTACTCCTCGTCTTTACCCTCTACTCCCCGTCTTTATCCTCTACTCCTCGTCTTTACCCTCTACTCCCCGTCTTTATCCTCTACTCCTCGTCTTTACCCTCTACTCCCCGTCTTTACCCTCCACTCCTCGTCTTACCCTCTACTCCCCGTCTTTACCCTCTACTCCCCATCTTCACCCTCTACTCCTCGTCTTTACCCTCTATTCCTCGTCTTTACCCTCTACTCCCCGTCTTTATCCTCTACTCCTCGTCTTTACCCTCTACTCCCCGTCTTTATCCTCTACTCCTCGTCTTTACCCTCTACTCCCCGTCTTTACCCTCTACTCCTCGTCTTTACCCTCTACTCCCCGTCTTTACCCTCTACTCCTCGTCTTTACCCTCCACTCCTCGTCTTTACCCTCCACTCCTCGTCTTTACCCTCTACTCCTCGTCTTTACCCTCCACTCCTCGTCTTTACCCTCCACTCCTCGTCTTTACCCTCTACTCCCCGTCTTTACCCTCTACTCCTCGTCTTTACCCTCTACTCCTCGTCTTTACCCTCTACTCCCCGTCTTTATCCTCTACTCCTCGTCTTTACCCTCTACTCCCCGTCTTTATCCTCTACTCCTCGTCTTTACCCTCTACTCTCGTTGCTGGCATCGTTGGACGACCCAAGTTGAGTCAACCCACCCACCTCCCTCCCTGGGTTCCCCTCTCCCATCCCTTCTTCCTCGTGACCGTCTTACTCCCAACACCCTTCTCCTCCTTGCTTGTTTAGACGCTGCGATTCGCAAGATGCTGGCGTCGCTGGACGACCCGTTCACGCGCTTCTTTGAGCCGGGCAAGTTCCGCGCGCTCAAGGCCGGCACGCAGGGCCAGCTCACCGGAGTCGGCCTCGAGCTCGGCTTCTCCCCGGACGGCCGGCAGCTGCTGGTCGTGGCGCCCGTGCCCGGAGGCCCAGCGGACCGGGCAGGGGTGGCTCCCAGGGACGTGATTGTGAGAGTCAATGGCGAGGCGGTGGACGGGCTTGGACTGTACGACGCCGCGCAGAAGCTGCAGTGAGTGCGATTCTGAGAGGTTTTGGGGATTCTTGGATGGTTCTTGGTCGGTCTCGAGCTCGCTTCTCCCTGGTGGTGGTGGCGCGCCAGTGCCCGGGGGTCCAGCGGACCGCGCGGGAGTGGCTCCCTTTGCGAGTCAATGGGGACGCGGTTGAGGGACTTGGGCTTTATGACGCTGCGCAGAAGCTGCAGTGAGTGCGGTTCTGAGGGGTTCTGTGGGCATTGGGGAATTTGAGAGGTTCTGGAGGATTTTAGGTAGTTCTGGGCTGTTGGCCGGCAGGCAGCAAGCAGCTGGTGGTGGCACCGGTGCCCGGGGGCCCGCACGGGGGTGGCTCCCAGGGACGTGATTGTGAGAGTCAATGGCGAGGTGGTGGACGGACTCGGGCTTTACGATGGGTTCTGAGGGGAATGACGCTGCGCATAAGCTGCAGTGAGTGCGGTTCTGAGGAGTTTGGTTGGGTTTAAGGAGGGCTCAGCGGACCGCGTGGGTGTGGCTCCCAGAAGCTGCAATGAGTGGATGTGATTGTGAGAGTTGACGGGGGCCTGTGGAGGGACTCGGGCTTTACGATGCTGCACAGAAGCTGCAATGAGGGCGGTTCTGGGTTTTTTGGAAGGTTTAAGGGCCTTTTGTTGAGGTTTTCAGGGGTTTCTTTCGTAGCGCATGCTGGTGGGGCATGTGATTGTTTGGGTAAATGTGTGTTGACGGTTCTGGTTCGATGGGTCTAAATGGAAGTTTGATGCTATCCGTAACACTGTTGATACCATCTGCATAACTATGTTACCTCCCGTACCTCACCTCCCTTCGCCCCTCTTCATCCCTTTTTACCCCCTTCCATGCATCTTTGCCCCGTCTCACCGCTCTTCACTCCTGTTCGCCAGAGGGCCAGCTGACTCCCTAGTGGAGCTGACCGTGCAAAGAGGAGGAGAGGCAGTCAAGCAACTCCCCCAGCAGAGGGGCAGGCAGCAGCTGAGTCAACAAAGTCAACCGAGTCAACAGCAGCCGCAGGAGCTCACATTTACTCTCACCCGCCAGAAGGTCTCCCTCAACCCCGTTATCTTCCGAACCTGCGACCTCTCTCGGCAAGCCTCGGCAGCTCTCCTAACTTCAGGGAATGGTTCGGCAGGCAGCTTCGGCAGCACTGGGAGCTCTGTCAGCCGTGGTGGGGAGAGTGGTGGTGGTGGAGTGGGTGTGGCGCAGGCAGGGAATGAAGAGAAGGTGCGGGTGGGGTACATCCGCCTGACGACCTTCAACCAGAATTCGTCAAGTGAGTGTGTCAGTCATTGTGTGTGTACGTGTGGTGCTGGTGTGGGTGTGGCGCAGGTAGCCAGTGAGGAGAAGGTGCGGTGCGGTGCAGTGGGGTGGGGTACATGTGCATCACCACCTTCAACCGGAACTCGTTGTATGTGTGTCAGCTCTCTCCACCATCCCCTTTGCTGTACCAACTCACCATCCCTCTCCATCCCTCTCCATCCCTCTCCATCCCTCTCCATCCCTTTGCATCCGTCGCCCAGGCGCATTAAAGCAGGCACTGGAGCAGCTGACAGGGGAGGGAGCCACGCGGCCTTGATTGTGGACATGCCCTCTTGAAGTAGCAGTGCTCAGAGCACCTCAACCGTCTGAACCCTTCCATCCCTCCCCACCCACGCTTATCTCTATCCCTCACCCACTTACCAGGCGCATTAAAGCAGGCACTGGAGCAGCTGACAGGGGAGGGAGCCACAGCTTTCATTCTGGACATCCGCAACAATGTACCTGCTCTCGATCCCTCTCCATCCCTCTCTACTCCTTGTACCAGGCGCTCTAAAGCGGGCACTAGAGCAGCTGACAGGGGAGGGGGCCACGGCCTTCATTCTGGACATCCGCAACAACAGTGGAGGGCTGTTCCCCTCCGCTCTAGAGATTGCCAAGATGTGGTGAGCTGCGGGGCTGGGTCACGCAGGTGTCATAGGGTGAACAAAGTGCTCACAGTGAGTGAGGCAAGATGCGAAGAGAGGCTCATCCGCAACAACAGTGGAGGGGCTGTTTTTGTGTGCTCTAGAGATTGCCAAGATGTGGAGAGCGGCTGTGGGGCTGAGGCTTGTAGATGTCATGCGGGATAGGTAGGGGATTCAGGCTGAAGCAGGCAGAGATGTGCCTGCTAACGCAAGCCAGGCAGAGCGGGTGAGATAGAAGGGGGCGAAGCAACATCCACCAGCAGCAGCACCAACCAATCGGCTGTGTGTTCCCCTCCGCCCGCCATTGGGATTGCCAAGATGTGGTGAGCTGAGCTGTGGGGCCGATGCTTGTAGATATCATGTGCGATTGATAACATTTCAATACTGACGCAGGCAGGTGCCGTACGTACACACATGAGAAGGAATCAAAGCTGAAACACGCAGGTGCGCCATGGCAAGCCAGGAAGAGCAAGAGCGAGAGTGAGCGGGATGTGTAAGACTTGACTCGCCAGCAGTCCATTGGGAATCCTGCCCCTATTTCCCCCCTCCACCTCCTCTCCATCTCTCTCTCTCTCTCCCCTCAGGATCACCAACGGCGTGTTGGTATACATCACGGACAGCCTTAGAGTGCGGGGCGTGCATGAGACCTGCCTCACCAGTTCACTGACTCTCCTGTCCCAATTTCTCCCCCTGTACCTCCTTCTCTCCCTCTCTTTCCCACGTCTCAGGATCAGCAAGGGCACGCTAGTGTACATCACGGACAGCCTAGGGGTGCGGGACGTCTATGAGACCAACGGGGAGGGTGCTATCGCCACATCTCAGCCTCTTGCCGTGCTGGTGAGCAACAACCAATCGTAGCGCGTGCCTTGTGCTTGGACTGCTGAGCCGCTGTGCTGCTGAGCCTACCTCCCATGCCTACCTCCCCTGCCTACCTCCCATGCCTCGCTCGTGTTGTGTGCGGGTAAGCCGCAGCACTGCAGTGTGGCATCCTTGTAAGCCGCAGCACTGCAGTGTGGCATCCTTGTAAGCCGCAGCACTGCAGTGTGGCATCCTTGTAAGCCGCAGCACTGCAGTGTGGCATCCTTGTAAGCCGCAGCACTGCAGTGTGGCATCCTTGTAAGCCGCAGCACTGCAGTGTGGCATCCTTGTAAGCCGCAGCACTGCAGTGTGGCATCCTTGTAAGCCGCAGCACTGCAGTGTGGCATCCTTGTAAGCCGCAGCACTGCAGTGTGGCATCCTTGTAAGCCGCAGCACTGCAGTGTGGCATCCTTGTAAGCCGCAGCACTGCAGTGTGGCATCCTTGTAAGCCGCAGCACTGCAGTGTGGCATCCTTGTATGCCGCAGCACTGCAGTGTGGCATCCTTGTAAGCCGCAGCACTGCAGTGTGGCATCCTTGTAAGCCGCAGCACTGCAGTGTGGCATCCTTGTAAGCCGCAGCACTGCAGTGTGGCATCCTTGTAAGCCGCAGCACTGCAGTGTGGCATCCTTGTGAGCCGCAGCACTGCAGTGTGGCATCCTTGTAAGCCGCAGCACTGCAATGTGGCATCCTTGTAAGCCGCAGCACTGCAGTGTGGCATCCTTGTAAGCCGCAGCACTGCAGTGTGGCATCCTTGTAAGCCGCAGCACTGCAGTGTGGCATCCTTGTAAGCCGCAGCACTGCAGTGTGGCATCCTTGTATGCCGCAGCACTGCAGTGTGGCATCCTTGTAAGCCGCAGCACTGCAGTGTGGCATCCTTGTAAGCCGCAGCACTGCAGTGTGGCATCCTTGTAAGCCGCAGCACTGCAGTGTGGCATCCTTGTAAGCCGCAGCACTGCAGTGTGGCATCCTTGTAAGCCGCAGCACTGCAGTGTGGCATCCTTGTAAGCCGCAGCACTGCAGTGTGGCATCCTTGTAAGCCGCAGCACTGCAGTGTGGCATCCTTGTAAGCCGCAGCACTGCAGTGTGGCATCCTTGTAAGCCGCAGCACTGCAGTGTGGCATCCTTGTGAGCCGCAGCACTGCAGTGTGGCATCCTTGTAAGCCGCAGCACTGCAGTGTGGCATCCTTGTTATCCGCAGCACTGCAGTGTGGCATCCTTGTGAGCCGCAGCACTGCAGTGTGGCATCCTTGTGAGCCGCAGCACTGCAGTGTGGCATCCTTGTAAGCCGCAGCACTGCAGTGTGGCATCCTTGTAAGCCGCAGCACTGCAGTGTGGCATCCTTGTAAGCCGCAGCACTGCAGTGTGGCATCCTTGTAAGCCGCAGCACTGCAGTGTGGCATCCTTGTGAGCCGCAGCACTGCAGTGTGGCATCCTTGTAAGCCGCAGCACTGCAATGTGGCATCCTTGTAAGCCGCAGCACTGCAGTGTGGCATCCTTGTAAGCCGCAGCACTGCAGTGTGGCATCCTTGTAAGCCGCAGCACTGCAGTGTGGCATCCTTGTAAGCCGCAGCACTGCAGTGTGGCATCCTTGTAGCATCCTAGTATCCTGTTGCAGCACCCTTGTCATTCATTGTCCCTAATTCCCTTCTCCTCCCCTTCCCGTTTTTCCCCTCTCCAGCCAGGTGAACAAGGGCACAGCCAGGTGAACAAGGGCACAGCCAGCGCCATTGAGATTTTGGCAGGAGCACTCAAAGACAAGAGTTGCAGGAAGCTGCTTCACTCCATGGTGATTCAGAAGATTGCTTCCCCCTCCCTTCCTTGCTCTCCCTCGCCGCCAGGTGAACAAGGGCACAGCGAGCGCCAGTGAGATCCTGGCAGGGGCGCTCAAGGACAACAACCGGGCGCTTGTGTTTGGCGAGCCCACCTTCGGCAAGGGGTGAGATGAGAGGCACAGCAGTGCAAATTCTAGATACGTTTGTTCACAATAATCTCCAGCGTATCCCATGGTGGCCTTTCATTCGTTTTCATGTGTTCCTTACCTTTTAGCCCTCTTCCGAAGGGTTTACTCTCCTAAACCCTCCTGTCCCCTTGCTGCACCCGCAGTTACTTTCTCTTGCCCCGTCCCCCATTCTCTCCCAAGAAATCCCTTGCCTCACCCAATCCCTGTCTCCTTGTGTTTCCCTTGCCTCACCAAATCCCTGTCTCCTTGTGTTTCCCTTGCCTCCCATCGTCACTCTCTCACCCATTGTCTCTCGTGTCCTCCTTGTCACTCTTACCCTCCCTGTCACTTGTCTTGTACCCTTTACAGCAAGATCCAGTCAGTGTTTGAGCTGTCGGATGGATCAGGGCTTGCAGTTACCATCGCGCGCTACGAAACCCCCGATCACACTGACATTGACAAGGTGAGAGATTGCTGACGGGGTGGGGGCTTGCTGGTAAGGCCCCCACCGTGTTTGACTGACTTAGTCAAATGAAACGGGCCAGCGCTAAAGAAAGAATGCCGGGTTGAGTGGGTGGGTGGGTGCATCATTAGGAGAAGTGGAGAAACCCTCTTGACCGTATGGAATTCGATCCTTCATGTTTTTTTGTAGCTGCAGAACCTTTTACAGTGTCTGGAAAACTTGTATTGACATTGGGAGTCTCTTCTCTTGTACCCTGCGTTCAGGTGGGCATCTTGCCAGACTACCCTCTCCCTGATGCCGTCCCAATGGACCCAGATCAGTTCTGCCAGTGCCTTTGCCCTGGGAGTCCCTCCAACGCCCAAGTCAGCAACGGTTCTTCTAATGGTGCAATAACCAGCAATGGTGCCGCCAGTGGTGCAGCTATTTTTGAATACCAGGATGCAGCTGCTCCACCTTGCTCTCTGCCATCTTCCCTTCTCTTTCCGCGCTCCCCGCTTGCTAAGTGAAGTGTAATAGGGTGGTGAAAGTCCGTTTTTGTGGCCAGAATTTGGGAGCATCAAAAGCAGGTGAAATTATATGTGAAGTGGCATTCTAAGATTGTAGACCGCAGCATTAGAATTTAATTCTTTTGATAAGTTCAGCTGTCTATAGCGCAAGACGCGACTGATTGTAAACGGGCTTCTTTCTGCACCTAGGGTGTATTTCCAATATGGTGGAGCTTGTCAGTGAGGCGTAGACGAGCAAAGGGCCTTCTTTGACACCGAGCAGGGCCTCAGATTCGTTTTTGGCTTGGCTGATACGTCAGCCTTAGCAGCCAACGTTAAGCTGATCAATCAGAGTTGGTTGTAAAAAAAAAACTGAAAGTTCAGACAAGTATAAAAAAAAAACGCTGACTAATCAGCCTCACTTAATACACTCTGGCTGATCCATGTTGAGCACTTTTTTCATTAAATTTAGCAGGCATAACAGGGAAACACTACACCACATACATGACATTAGCTAGCTGCTCATTTCATCTTCATCACTAGAACTACCTCCTGCATCTCCTACTGGCTCCTCCTCATCATCTACATCTACTGGCTCCTCCTCATCATCTACATCTACTGGCTCCTCCTCGTGCTTGCCCTTCTTGTTCTCGCCTGGGATTGGGGTGCGAATGGGAGCATTGCTGAAAGGCTTGCGCTTTCTGTAACTCCGCCAGATCTCAACTACCTCATCGTAGTTGGGCTTGTACTGCATGAGGGACAGACACATGAGGTCCCCCAGCCTCGCGTCCTTGATCCCCCCTCTCCGCCATGTCTTGATCACGTTTTGCCGAGTGAATCCCCTTTCGCACTCCACAGTGCTGAGGGGAATCACAGCCACCGCCACCCAGAGCTGCACCAGATTGGGGTAGCTCTCCCGCCAGTCTGGCGTCTTGAGGATCGCCGATAGTCCGCTGTGGAAGCCCCTCTCTTCCTTGGGGGCACGTGCAAGGACTGAACAGAAGAGGCGAAGCTCCTTGCCTGCCTGCCTCTTGTTGATGCCTGGTGGGAGGGAGGGAGGGTTAAGATGAGGCACATGACATGAGCAAACAGGTGCACCACAAAGGATTTTCAAGCATGGATATGATATCAAAGGTTCACAAAGGCGCCACAACAGACCTGGCAAGATGTCCTCACGGTCCTGAGCCTTGAACATCGTCACCAGCGACTGAAGCCACTCCAGGCAACGAGCGTTCCGCTCAGACTTGCTTTGTGGCCATGCATCTGGTGTGAACAGGCGGACTCCAGAGAGGGAGTCGAGATCACCGAGCCTTCCCTCCAGGTTCGCCACGATCCTCTCTGCGAACTCGGTGCACAACTGGATGCACCCGTCGTGGTCCTCCGGGCCGCTGTACGAGTCCACGGGCTCGTCGTGAAGGGTGAACGTGATAGAAGATGGTCGGCCGTCACTGTCGACACCTTCCACCTTCACTTCGCGGCTACACCCCGGGCCATGGCGCAGCAGGAAAGGTGACAGCCACTGGCTCATGCCGCCGCCGAAGTCATCGCCGCAGTCCACGTAGCGGCTCTCGATGTGACGCGTTGTCCGCTTGATCTGCGCATGCAAAGACACCAGATCGAGCTGGACAGACAGAGGCACACAGTGACACGGTTAAAAGGGTTAATGTGGGGACATGCGTAGCTATATTCGCACCACCTCACCTGTTTCTGCTGGAAGGTCTTGTTCAAAATGTTGAGCTGCTCAAGCACATCAGCCAGGAAGTAAAGGAAGAAGTGAAAACGGTAGGAGCTTGCCAGTTTGTACATCTTGCTGTTAAGCTTCTTCAGCAGCACAATCACTGCCGGCAAAACAGCGACAAGGCGACGAACGGCATCCCCCCTTGACAACCACCGAACGGAATGGATGCCTTGCACTTCAAGGCTCGTTTCGGTGATGACTTCCTGCAGGTCCATGAACCGTGCGTGGCGCGGTCCCGACCGACCAAGCAAATCCGCCACTGCCCGGATGAGATCGTCGACCATGTCGAAGACGGGGAGCTCCTCTGCTGCATCCTTCGCTGCAAGTGCCTCCCTGCAAGTACAACATCAAACTCAAGACGTTAAACACGAGCTCGAACCACATGGCGTAACGGGCTGGAAACGTAGCAGCAGAGCTCACTTACCTGTGAGCGATGCAGTGAACGGAGACAAGGTGCGGAATCTTCTGTCGCAGGCGGACAACCAGGCCGGCCTTAGACCCCATCATCACTCTTGCGCCGTCGGTGCTAATGCCAGAAATTCTCTGTAGATCGACACCGACGGACTGCAAGTGGGAAAGCAGGATGCTCAGAAGTGAAGAAACGTCCGCCTTTTCCACCGTGATCAGCTGCATGAACTCGGTCACGAGCACGTTGTCGCGGATGAACGAGGCATACAAGATCATGTGCTTCCCCCGGAGTCGATCCGTGCTTTCATCGATGCAGATGCCGATGAAAGGGCTTGTCAGGATGTGCTCCAGCTGAGTTGTCTGTAGCCAGGTAGCAAGGGCCTGCGTGAGCTCACCGAAGCCGTACCTACACGCAGGGAAACTAAAGACAAGAGATTAGAAGAGGGTTTAGGGTTGAACATCAAAACATCAACGCAATACAAATGTGGCTACTACTCACGTTGTGTAGTAGGTGCCATATCCCTTCTTAGGGTAGCCCTGGACACCCTTACGCGTGAGGTACTGCACCAGCTTCACCCATGTTCCCATTGGCGCATCGCAGGAACTGACGAACAGCATGGAGTCGAGCAACGCCACGACGCGGTTCTTCTCAGCATCGATGGCGGCTCGATGTTGGTCGATCCGTGGCTGCTTTGAGGCCGCGTTCAGCAGAGCCTCTTGCTTCTCCATCGCCAGCCTGTGTTTCGTCGTGCCGGCGTGCTTGCGAAACGCCTGCGTCTGCACGTCGGTCGCCCCTCGCCCTGTCCGGCCACATCGCCCCCTGACTCCGGCATGCTTGGTGCAGACACTGCACTTAAAAGCAGGGAAACCAGATTTAGATTTGGTTAGCACAAGCCACGGGAACCTCTCAGACCACTTGGTTTTGTACTTCAAAAGAGCGTCTGCATAGACTGCCTCGATGGCCTCTGAAATGTCTATGACCAAGGATGGAAGAGGGGCTGTGTTGTTCGCGACAGGTTGCTCGACGGCGGTGCTCGAAGAAGGTTTTGCCCAGCTCAGCGTCGACTGCTTGAGCTTGAAGTTGCGCGGGCCAGTGGACTTTGTTGTTGGCGAGTCGAGAACCACCGTGTCGGAGACGGCAGCCGGCGCAGCAGGCTCACCCCGGATGGAATCCGAGCTTGAAGAAACCGGTGGGTGGTCGCGGTGCACCCTCTCGACTAGTGCTGGCTTTGCAGTAGGAAGCCTGGGAGCGAGGACACCAGGGGCAAGCGAGCGCAGGAGCATATCAAGCCCCGTCCTGGCTTCCTCTAGGCCGTCTAATTCATCATCGCTGCCTGCATCATCATCGCAACCTACGCCTTCTGCAAGGCCGGCCATGGCTGAAAGGGGAGAGCGTGCCGAGCTCCAACGTTGCTAGCTAGGGTTTGAGAAAACCAAGGCGAGAGGCGTGGATTGACAGTGCAGCTCGCCTAGGGGGTGGGTACGGTGGGGTCATCAAGAGAGAGCCATAAAAGAAGGCCCTCTCATTCTCACCACCCATCAGCTACGCGGCGCGACGAGGGGGCACCATGCACGCACTTAGATGCAGGTTCGGGGTGGGTGAGATTGGGTGAGGTGGGTGCCCTTGTCGTGAGTGCGTGCGGTGCGTTCCTGTGCTGCACTGGTGGCGGGTGATTGGCGCATAAGGGATGTGATTGGTTTACCAACGAATCACATCTATTTAAGCATTCTGTCGGTGACAACGAAGCAAACGACGAGTCGGAAATTCGTTTTCCCCCCGCGTCGGCGCTGTACATGGCAAATTTTGCGTGATTGACGGTCGATGAACCTGGACAGCCGAAACTCACGGCTCCTGCACGAATCTGTAATAGCGTGAATTCAGCCTACACTCTCGTTACAAGTCTGATAAATCAGCGAACACTTGTAAAAAAACGCTGGATAATCAGCCAAAACATTAAAAAAAAACCTGAACAATCAGCCAACACATTAAAAAAAAAACTGAACTTTCAGCCAGCACATCGCCCACATGTCTGTGAAATCAGCGTCCAGACCCTAAATCAGCCTTTTTTCGCTGACATCTGAGGGCCTGACACCGAGTGTTAAAAAAACTGATGCGGTAGAAGAAATCATCACTCTTGTTTCAAATGAGTTCGTCGTGTGACATGCGATTTCCATGTTCCTGTTCTGTCACACCAAACGTGGTCTGCTCTAACCACACCTTCCCTGTCTTATCAGCACCCAAGTTAGCTACTATGAGGGCGGGTGTTAAGCTCGCTGGGCCTAAATCCGCTAACAAATAACGGGGTCGACTAAGTCGAGGATGAAAACGCGGCGTACCGTATTCTCCCACACAAAACACCCCCCCATGATAGTACCCCCCCGGAAAGCTTGTGCGGGGTGGGTGCTATGGGCGACCTCGTTTCTACTATACCCCCCTTGTTGGGTGATTTTCTATAACACCCCCCTTTTCTTACAGATTCCTATTATAGCTGTTATCGAGTCAGATTCCTTACGGGAGAATATCGCGAGAATCGCTTCCTAGATGAAATTTCGCGGGTACTTTCACTTAGAATCTGCCGACATTTTCCCCCTCCCACAATCTCGCTGTCGCCACCCTGGCGAATCTTTCGCTGCAAGTGGACATTTCCCCCCTCCCACAATCAGGCCCCAAAATGTCAGGGTAAAGTACCCTGATTGCCCTGACTGGCGGCCACTTTTTTTGGGGTTACCCAGTGTCAAACTATATATGTGTTAGTTCTGTGTAGACTATAGTGGGGTAGCCCATAAGGGGTACAACCCGAAGTTAGGGTTAGTACTTGTACCCACATTTCATTCAATGCAACCATTCCTGCTTGGTATCTTGACATGGTTTCAG